CAGTAATACATGTTTACTCATTTAACTCACTGATGTGTACAAGTGCCCAGTTTCTTCTACCTCGTCATAGCAGGTCACTTATGGAGCGTCCCAGATTACAAGCTGCCACGAAGAGGAATATCTCACAGAAAAGAACTGAAGATGGAGAGCTGTTCAATATATACTTCTGGATGATGACTACTTTAATTATCAAATAAAATGATTCGTCATTTGCTTATTCTCTAATTCAAAGCGATGCTTTACAAATCACACGAAGTCAAAGCATGGCACAGTGAAATGTTTAAAATTCCTTAACTGGAAATGACACGCCCATCTAAAAGGAACAAAAGGGCCTTTATAAAAATAATAAACCTGTTACCTTAAAGCAAAGGTAAGTTAGTCCTGTTAGGTGAATGCAAATCACGACCAGTGATACAGTAAATACAGATGTGTTCCAGCCTTGCAAAGAGAGTAAATAAAGAGTAGATGTGTCGGTACAAGAGATCATTTCTTGGATGAAAATGAGAGGAAAATCTATTGTGACATGCTACCAAGTATCAAGGAACAAGACACTGTGAGCCAGGCATAGTGCTGGGGGCAGTGAGCAGGCAAGGAGGGTGCTGCATGTACTAACCAGGCTGTACTAGCTGCTGCCTGTATTAGCCAGGATGTACTAGCTGCTGCCTGTAGTAGCCAGGATGTACTAGCTGCTGCCTGTAGTAGCCAGGTTGTCTGCCCTTTGTGGGTCTTAATTTCCAATATGCCAAATGGAGACCTAACTTTGTATGTATGTTGACTGTGTAGAAGATAAAGACAGTAAAAGTAAGAACTGTACCAAGAGATCATCTTACAGAGATTATGACTGGGCTGATGACAGATCAGCGATAAAGATCAAGAGAGCTCGGCCTAAATATGAAACATTGCCACAATCCATCTCACCCTTCCTTCTTCACCTGTATCTTGCCAGGGCTCTTTCTTGCACCGTAGAGCTGGCCACTGACACATTATCAACATAAGGTTCTAGGAACCAACAGCCTTTATAGTATAATAATGAAAACACACAGATAGCTAAGAGTTATCCAAGACTCCCGATGTGTCTAGCACTCTTCTGGATATTTTCTGTTATCCCACTTAATCCTCCAGACAAACCTATGATACAGACACTACTATTAGCTCTACTTTTCAGGTGAGAAGACACGGCATGTTCACAGGAAAATTTATGTAGCAACAGCTTACAGTATGAATAACGTCACCAGGCAGGATGCATTTCATGTGAAATTAGTGGTATGAGTGTTAATTGCTATAAATCTAGAAGAAAAAGGAAAATTATCCTTGTGTGACCTGAGAATGTTCCACAAGAGGGAAGAAATTAAAGCTAACGACAGAGAAGGATCTGCCCAGGCAGAGAGAACAAAACTATTACAGGTAAAGGAAAGAATGTGAACAAGGTTACAGCAATGGAAAAGTGGGACAGAAGGAGGTGGGCAGAAGGGCAGAGCTCAGGCCAGCAAGCGAAAGACAAAGCTGCAAAGTCACTCTAAGTGGGCAAGGCCTGGAGTCCGCAGGCCATCTCTCAGCCACAGTTCCCTGGGCTCGATGGCATCACCAGGCAAGGCGTGTGCACAGGTGCTCATTGGCATGGGGCCAGCTTCAAGGTTTTCAAAACCTACAACAACTAAAACCTCTCCACCACCAACCGGATAAGGTGCCTAAAATTCCAAACTAAAGTTAACACCCATTTCGCACATGATAGGTCTGCATTTTGCACATTTTGGGTTTCACACATGGGAACCAGTGGTTCTCAAACTCTACCTGGATCCAGAAACACCTGGAAAGCCCACTAAAGCACAGACCGCAGGGCCTCACCCACCACTTTCTAGCTCAGTAGGTACAGAGTGACAGGAAGGATTGTTTGATGCTTTGAGACTTACTACCTGATAGGATGAAATCTAGAGAGGGTTCATTCTGATTGGGGAGAGAAAATATTGGCATTTACCAATAATTCATGAAGGGAACTCCTGAGTGAAGGGTCAAGAGACAGGTGTGAGGGCAGGTATGTGGGGATGCTCTAGCCAACAAGTCAGGTGTGAGAAGACAGGGCATTTGGAAGCAGCAACTTACAAGATTAGTTCGGCGCTAGCTGTCAGCCCTCTTGGTGCTTAAAAACACCACACAGGGGCTTTTCCTGGTGGCACAATGAGTTAAAGCACTGCATTATGAAGCTCTCCAAAGCCACTGCAGCATGAGTTTGATCCCCGCCAGGGAGCTGACCCGCATGGCATGGCAGACCTCTCCTGACCCGCCTGCTGCTCCCCTCAGCAGTATATTTCAGTTCATCTGCCTGTTCTGCTCCTCAGCTGTTCCTGGTGAATCCTCTCACCCACCACAGCTCTGGCCTGTACCCCAATTCTATAAACATGAATAAGTGAATCTTTAAAAAAAAAAACAAAACACACAGATATCTTTGAGCACCATTTTGGACAAACTCACAGAAGCTATCAGAAACCAAATGGCAGTTGTGAGCTATCAATATATTTAAGCTTTATCTGTCTTGGTACTATCAATATATGTAAATACAGAGAGGATTTACAAATAAAGTAAATGTAGTCTTCTTTATTGTATTCAGGGGCAGGGGAAAATATTAAAGGAACATTCCATCAATTAAAGCAAATGCCAAAAATTCATGAAGAAAAAGCTACACAGCTGCAAAGAAGATAATGCTAATGAGCTAGTTAAGATAGTAACAGCATTAGCTAGTCCTAAATGGTATTATATTGATCATTTCTGGAGCAAAAAATTTTGTTTTTAGTTCATTCTGAGTTCTCTGTCAATTCTAAGATTGCATTTTCCATATCATACTGATACCCGCTCCCCTTTACATAACCAATTTTGACATTTGATCTCCTCTCATATATATTTATATATATTTATATTCATAACATGGGACAGTTTTGATACTTGAACTTATCTGGCATTCAAAATCTTTACAGTCAAATTTGGTATGATTTATCTTCTTAAATAAAGGGAGTGTTGCCCTGCAAAAGGCAAGACACATTAAGAAAAGATCTCCTATTTCACCACTGGAGGATTCTTCTTTCTTTCAGTCCTTTGGAGAAAATAACAAAGATTCATGTTTCTTTCAGATCTCATACTGAAATCTGGTTTTCCATGATCAGATGAAAGTCAAAAGATTTCATGTCAACACAAATGTTTACAGATCCCATTTCTCAGGCAGAAAAATTACCATGGATAGATTTGTCTGGTTCAACATATGAGCCGTGTACTGTAAGACTAGCATGGGTGGTTGTGACAAATCCTAAAAGTTCACACTTTAGAGCAGGTGAACTACTTGTTTGAGGCCTGTCTTCTTCTCAGTCAGTAGGAAAATAACACACTCAGAAAGGCAGAGAAAAGGAACACATTCCTACCACACTATAAGCCTGCAAATAAAGTGAAAATAGTCTTCCTTTTAACTGTCACAAAAGCAGCATTAAAGCATTTAGTTTATGTTTTCCTACTTTTCATGAAGTTCATAATAGTCAATGTAATTAATACTTCTTATAAAGTCTCACACCCACCAATCAATCACACAAGAACATGTTGTCACTGAGGCTGGATGACCTAGTGCTTTAAAAAATATTATAATTCTTACACTTTGGAAGAAAATATGATGGAAGTAGCTTATATTCTACTCTTACCTGGTTAAAAACTTTGCCCTCCTGGCTTTCACCCACACCTCCAGAACAGATGGACACATTCTCAAAGCTCTATTTTTCAATCTATTAAGTGGGCACAAGCAACGCTGCCTATGAAGCATTTCATAGTTCACTAGAGAAAGGCAGCTAGGTGCAGTGCAGAGTAAGAGGGGCTGCATTATTTGGCTATTATTTTAAGGATTGTCGGTTAAGAATAGGGGGATGGGAGAGGGAGGAAACTTTTCTGCCTAGTACCAGTGTTGTGCACATATCACCTCTCACTGCCTCACACTCTCCTAAACCTACAGATACCGAGAGGCGAAGGTATCTGAGGCGAAGGCATCTGGGTGCTTCAGACCAGCTCAACAGCTGGAAACCCCCGTGATCCCACAGTCACACAGGGGCCGGGAGGAGGGCAGCCAAGTGCAGCCACTTGCCTTTCCGTCTCTAATCAATTGCTATGGTTCACTGGCTGCAGCTAATGAAAAAAATGGGATCATTGCAGGAGACTGAAGGATATTTATGGAAAAGTTCACTTTTAAAGGATATTGAAAAGAACAATAATTAGCCAAAATGGAACATAAATAGAAATGACCACAACAAACTCGGGAAGGTGGCTGTTCAAAGTCACCCGCACTGCTGAGGCCCTGCAGGTCAGCTCTGCAATTAGCCTCATTCTCCAGGCACCAAACCGAACGTGGGGATGATGTGTCACGTGCTGAAGAAAGACCAGGGCTTGTGTATGAGCCCAAGAACCAGCACAAATCCCAGACTCTGAAAGGCAAGTCTCTTCTCTGATTTTTAGAAAAAGGGCACCTCTCTGTCTAGCACCTGCTAATTTAAAGTCTGTCACTGCAGAGGTGAAATGCAAGAAGTTAATGATGTTTATAATTGGAAAGGTCCTTTTTTATTTTTAAAAGACAGCTGCTGAGGACCACAGATTCACAGACAGAAAATGGAAAAAGGGATGAAAATTTTACACGTTACCCTTTACTGACCCCTCTTGGCTGACCTCAGGAAGGGAAAAACCTGCACCCAGGTCTGAAACTAAGAGGTCCACCTCTTAGAGAGCCCAGAGAACATTCGGTCTATCAAGCCCTGGAAAGAAATCCTTTCAGTTCAGATGACCCCTAGTAGAACTCAACCCTAAAGTACACGCGACAATGATTTCTATTTATGGGGCTCCCAGAATGGAAATTGGGAAATGGCCACTGCTCAGCCCCAAAGGTCTTCCTAGGTCTCCGGGAGCCTATGACCTCTGATTCTAGGTTGAAAAACTTACATAAGAGCTAATGTGACCATTTCGGATAGCAGCAAAGAACTTACCTCTTTCTCTATTTTTAGTAGCTTCTTTACAGCCACTTCCTTGTCCTGTGATATCCATTTGGCTCGGTAAACACTTCCAAAACTTCCTCCACCGCAGTTTTCAAAAAACTGCAAGTCATCAAATTTAATTTGCACAAAGGAGGCACCGAGAGACGACATCGCATAATGACCAAGTATTATACTTCCACAAAATCTGCAGACAGAAAGAAAAAGAAAAGTTGGATCACAAATATATTGAAATGAATTCTCTAAATCCCACTTCGGACAATATACGAGTCCTTTGAACCTTCTAAAAAAGAACCATGAAAACAGGAGAAAGGAAGTAAGACTATAAACAAACCCAAAATGAGAACACTTACCCTGGCAGTCTAGGCAGACAACAACGACTTGTCCAGACTTTGAAACACAGCTGTCCACAGAGAAATGGCTTAGGCTCTCCCCCTGACAAAACCTGCACTTCCTGCACATCCCGAGAAGCTCCGCTTAAAGGCTACTGTGTCACCAGGTCCCTATCATGAAGCCCTGACAAGCGGGAAGCGTGCTTTCAACAGTAAGCTAACATAGCTCTTCTGGTATCCGAGGCATGCCATCTCCACACTGTGCTCGCTTCACACAAAATATACGTAACCTAAGCAACTGAGCATCCTGGCACCAGGACAGCCCAAATGCTGCAGGCTGAGCATGCAACCAGCACTGAGATACCGAAAGCAAATGTTTAACTCAGGGATGATAGAAAAACTGGCCAAGTGTTTTCCAGAAGTACCTCCGTGGACTGTATACTGTAGCAGAACTTAATTAAAGAGTAGAAAATTTGCCCTTGATTACAATATGTTAAGTCATCCACAGAACTCTGCCAAGAATGTTTTAAAAAAATATTATGCTTGTTTCCAGAGGAACAGATTACTCCTCCCAGAGATTATTGTAGTGATAATATCTCCAGTTTAAGGAGTTCTTCTATTCTCCAGGTAAGAAAGTGGTCATTCTTCATACCCCATGGTTTGGATGAAATTTAGGAATGTGTTAAAGGTAGGGATATAGAATATGCAAGCTAGTTTGTTTAACATAATGTAAACTACCACTTGCAATATGCAATATTGCCTCAGCATTACAGATGCTTGGCCTATATATATGGCCTATATATATAATATATATATATTTTTAAAAAATGATTTATTTATTTATACATACAGAACTGGGGTACAGGCCAGAGGTGCAGGGGCAATGAGAGGATTCACCAGAGACAGAGTGGGGAGAACAGGCAGAATGATGGAGTACACTGCTGAGGGGTGCAGCAGGTGGGTCAGGTGAGTTCTGCCACACCGTGTGGATCACCTTGGGGACAGGACCAAACTCGCACTGAAGCAGCTGCTGCTTGCTTGCAGTGCTGTGTCCTAACCTGTTGAGCCACCGGGGAGGGCCCGCTTGGCCTATATTTTATATATGAATTATTTTTAGTTTTGTCACAAAAAAAATTATTGGGTTGTCAGAAAAGTAGTGATGTATTTTTTTCTGTTTTTCCAGTAAAAATGTGCCATGACTTTTCTAACAACCCAATAGAAAACAAACTCCCCTGTCTTCCCTCCCCATACCCAATTATCTCTTCAGAGTGAAATAATTCAACTCTTCTAGCATTTTCTTGTGGCATTTACCTCCTTAATTCTTTAAAGAAATGTATTTAATTTGCTATTTCTATAAAACAGCCTTTAACTCTTGCATACAAATATGTTACACTAGCTCAGCCCTTCTAGCTTCTAACTATATTATAACATTTGGCTAAGTCACTATTCAGGGTTTATAGTAGTTTGATAAAGCAATTATTATTCCCAGCAGTACTATCTAGGATTCAATAACTTTTCCTTTCTTGGATAACATTTTGTTTCTCCTGTAATTATTGGTTGCTCTGTTTCTGTTTTCATTGTGTTTGGTTTTTCATATACCTCATACTTATTCACCTCCTCATACTCTCACAAGGACTTCAGAATTCATCTCAAAATAAAAACATCAGGAATTTTCATCTTTGGTTCAATTTTTTTTTTCTTGGAGATAGCCCACCTCGGTCCTTTATCTTGATTCAAGTGGGCTAGCAAGATTGTCTTGTAGGCTGATATAGACTGAGTTTTCCACCCTTTAGTATCACTCTAGGAGCTATTTTCTGTGGGAACCTCTGTCCTTAGATCTCCTGGCTTCTTTGTCTTATTTATTTCTTTATCTAAACAGTACACATTTCCCATTATCTTCTTAAATAAGGTACAGAGAATGTAATTTTCTTTGAGAATCTATGCTTCTTAAAATGTCTTGATTGGTAGTCTGGCAACATATACAATTCTAAGTAGGAAACAAATTTCCTTAGTATTACTTCACTGTCCTCAAGTTTCTAATGCGGTTGTTGAGTAGTCTGCTGCTACCCTGGCAACTAATCCTTTTTAAAGTACTTTCTCCTCTCTGAAATCTTTAGGAATCATTTTTTTCATCCCTGGAATCCTGATATGCTTAGCAGTATCTTTTTCACTCACTGGCAGGATACTCAGTGAACTCCCTCAGTCTACAATTCATGTCTTTTAAAGCTGGAAAATTTTCTTCTGTTATTTCTTTCACACGTTTATTACTGCTTATCTACTTCCCTATATACACTTGAGGAATTACTTGGAGTTCCCAGTGCAAGCTGACCTCCTACTTCTCCTTTCTCTACACATGTTAGTGTCTCTTCTTCAAATACCTTCATCTATCCAGCAAACATGTGTCCCTGACCATCTCTGCTAACAGAGTTGACTTCTCTTTCTGTGTCACAGCATCTTTCTTCACTCATTCCTTTTCCACTTAATTCAACCAGTCTACAAATTCCTTAGGCAAAGCTCATTCCTATTAACATCTAGAGCTTTAGCACCTAGTACACAGCCAGCTATGTAATTGTGGAATGCAAGAATGAACTAATGAATGAATAACTGGTTTTTGGTTATTTGGTCATTATAACTTATGCAGCTACAGAGATTCCAATCAGATTTAAGTAAAACCCGAGACCTGCCACTTTCACAAGTGCCCCAAAGGATTCTGAAGCAAATTCTGATTTGGAAACTGCTGCTTGATCTCTTAGGAGATCAAGGAAAGTATGTTTGTGACCTCCTGGACTGGGTGTCACTGAGTTCAGAGCAAGAGGAGGAAGGGGAGAGGGAACAGAAGATGTAGGTGTAAAGGGAGGAAGGAACCTTACCCAAGGCAAACACAGATATCTGAACCAAGATAATATCAATATGACTCAATATAAACCCTCTGATATAGCCCAAGTCCAGGGAATTTGGGTGAGCTGAGGCGGGATTGGTCACATCTGAAGATGACCTAAGGTGCCAGAGGAAGGCTGACCTCTGGGAAGCATATTTACCCAGTATCTGCACCTCTTAAGCTAAAGAAATTACTCATGTTATACCCAGAATCACTGTTACTCACTCTATGAGATAGCCTGCCATTTGGAAAATGGCTATGTTGAATGGAACTATATAATTACTTGAATGTTTTATTGAGACTATAAAAAATTAACTCTCATTTGATTACAGAAAAGACTAACAATTCTAGGGTATATGAGTATAGGTTTTAACTCCACTGAATTTGGCCAAGCGTCATGGACTTAGCTGAAAACCTGACTAGAACCTCTACTGCCTTCTTCCCACGAGCCAGGCAACATGTTTTCCCCCTTGAGCTTCCTCTTCTTTTATTTAAAAGATGATCATTTTATTTTAAGATGATCAACTTATGACCAAAAGAGTGGAAAAACTAAGTTGCTGATTAATTATACTTAGAGCATTTTGGGACAAACTGTTACTTGACCAAATTATGTTCCAATTTTTCAGATGTATTTTCCAATGAATATACCAGAATTTATTTATTTTTTAAATTTCTGTACAGGAGAACTGGGGTGTAGGCCAGAGGTGTGGAGGCTGAGAGGATTAGCCAAAGACAGAGTGGGGAGCAGAACAGGCAGATGTTTCGAAATACACTGCTAAGGGGAGCCATGGGCAAGACAGGAGAGATCTGCTGTGCCATATGTGGGCTAGCTCTCTGACAAGGGGTCTAGCTCTCTGATAAGGGGTCAAACTAAGGCGACAGTGATAGTTGTGATAGAAGTGATAGTGCTGAGATCTCATCATTATGCCACCAGGGACACCCACTTGAATATACAGAATTTAATAATGAATCACCTATGTAAATCTGTTTACACAGTAAAACTAATCAGAAAATGTCTTCATATCCCATCATGCTGAAATAATTGCTTTTCCACAGAGAGGCAATTTTTCTCCATGAAGCAATTCCCAGTTCTGATTTTGTGTATTCTGACTTTTGTGTCATAAACTCTCAAAGCTGCTTTAAAAGTTAATTTAAGTACACAACACTGAACGTTAGAGCAAAGGACAATAGTGTCACAACTGCAAATGCTGACTATTAACTTAGTGATTGAATCCAATTATTTGAATTCTAAAACAAGTTTTAAAAATTTCCTTAAAAGTTAAAGAGCATTTCAGCCCTCCCTGGTGGCACAGCAGGTTAAAGCACTGCACTAAGAAGCTAAAGCCACTTCTGCATAAGTTCGATTCCCGCCTGCCCCAGAGGCGACCACATGGCGTGGCAGACCTCTCCTGACCCGCCCGCTGCTCCCCTCAGCAGTGTACTTCATCCATCTGCCTGTTCTGCTCCCCACTCTGTCTCTGGTGAATTCTCTCACCCTCCGCATCTCTGGCCTGTAACCCAGTTCTGTACAAATAAATAAAAATAAAATCTTAAAAAAAAAAAAAGTTAAAGAGCATTTTAAACTATTAACTAAATTGCAGAAAGCTCTGTGTGATCATACATATAAAAATGCACATTTATATCCATCAGCTAATTATCAAAAGTGAAGTAAAATGGAGCTAGAGAATCTTAAAAGGTATTTCACTTTACTTTTTTTTTAAAGATTTATTTATTTATGCATATGGAACTGGGGTACAGGCCAGGGGTACAGGGGCAGTGAGAGGATTCACCAGAGACAGAATGGGGAGCAGAATAGGCAAATTGACAAAGTACACTGCTGAGGGGAACAATGGGCAGATCAGGAGAGGTCTGCCACGCCATGTGGATCACCTCTGGGATGGGGGCTGAACTCATGCTGAAGTGGCTTTAGCATCTTTGTGCTGTGCTTTAACTTGCCGCACCCACCAGGGAGGGCCCTCACTTTACTTTTTAAAGTTTTCAGCTTCTAGTCCAAAAAGCAGACTTTTGCCTCCGAGTTAAAAACGGCAACCACAAACGATGATCTTGCTAATATTCTTAAATATTAAAATAAAAAAACAAGGTTTGGAATTGATATAAGTTTGAAATTTGCCTCTACCTCTCCGGAACCTTGAAACAACCAACCACATTTTCTCATATAGTGATAGTTGCAGATTCAGAAAACAAAAAATTTGGAATGCTTGCCATTC